AGGGTGGCGTATTCAAACTTTCATTTTTTCTGAAGTTGCTTCATTCGCCTTCCGTTGAATAAACGAAGAAACTGTTCACTTTTATCATAAAGTTCCAGGTAAGTTTTGTTAAGAAAAATGTAAGTAGCTGGTTTGAAATTATGATGGTGCATGTCTGCATACTTGTGGAGAAGAGAATGGAAATTGTCGACAGAGTTAACAAATACTTGTTAACGGCAAAAGTGGCAAACGAATCGCGACAAAAAGTATCATTTGTACCTGCTACAGTCTCACAATTATTTTGAGCTTAAAAGGCTTTAGTTCAGCAGCGCCTACATTGAGATCCATAAGCAAAAATATGAGGGAAGATTCTCCGTAGAAATCCCATCATATGCGACATACAACTTATGGTTCATTCTTAATTCGGACAAGGGAACGGACTGTCATATTAAAATCTAAAAATTCGCAGTAGACTAGGTAATAAGATAGTGCGTGGCATTTATTTTGTTCCATTTTGTGACTTTTTTTTTCAGCCATGTTGTCGATGCTGTTTTAATTCTTTTCACAAAGGCAAGGCGCAGTTACACACATCTCATTGCTTTCCACAATTAGCGTAAACAACGACAAAATTTCTTGACTTTCTTCATAATTTATTACATACATAATTTCGCTTTTGATAATCAAGGGATATTCACTGAAAAAGTTTGGAGAGATGTCAAAAGTCTGCTTTCGGGCACGAAAACCACATTCTAAAAAATTTTGCTCTTTAATGGTGTCCTGTGGTATCCGTGTTGGTCCTTTTTCTATTATTTTCTCTCGGTGGTTCTGAACTGTTTTTCTGTTACAGAAAATGTTTCATTGAAGGGTTTCGCTCTGACAAAGGCGAGTTTTCAATTAACTAGATGAGATCAACCAGAAATATGTTACCTGCGTCTCTTTGAAGAACGTATATTGTCAAAGAAAGAACGAAGCCAAAATGAGATAAGACAAAAAAAAAAAAAAAAGCCAGAAAATCGGTAAAAAAATGTAAATAGATGGATGGAAAGTTGCCAGTACCTAACTGATGTAATATCGCATTATTATGATAAGGAATGCCTTTTTTACAAATCATTGTCTGATTTTCAAATTACATTGCTTTCACGTTCCAGCAAATTGCATTTTTGGAAACAAACCTTGATCCCGAGTAATATATTCTGTAAAACATACATTATTGCTCGCGGCGCCCATTTTGCAAACATGATTAGGGACGCGAACAATGCCGATGCAACGCACCCCTTTGGGGAAGCTGTTACCGTAGGTTTTTTTCACTTAGATATTTGCACAACGCACACAGTAATCACAGTAATCACTGTAATCCTGCTGTGTTTTGATATCTTGCAGAAACATGTTTCTAGTGCTTCCAGTGGTTTTGTTCCTTTTCATTTGTGGTTCCAATAACCAACCGACGTCATTTTTTGCCGAGAGAGGTTAGTAAAAGTTTCGTTTTCTCCGTGTCTTTTTTTACCGGCGAATGCCAATATATAACGTTTGCTTTTAATTTATTCATAAAGGTTTCCTTTTCCATAAAAGTTTCCCTTTCTGCCTTAAATAAAAATAAACTTGGAAAAAACCTTCTCTAAATATTGACAGCTGATAAAACAAATAGTCTTAAAAAGACATTAAAAAATGAATGCATATGAAAAAGAGATTCTAAATCTCATAAAAGAGACGGATCCAGCTGAAAATTTAATTCCGTTTCCGTGCGTCCGTCCTTCTGTTCGTACTTTTCTTTGCATCGCGCCAAACGATCACTAAAAACCCGGGCGATCGGGGTGACTGCAGAAACTTCGGAAAGAATTAAGTTTTGTTAAGCTTGGTTTCTGCGTGACTGCTCGGCTGGTCCCAGAACTGGTGGGATAGGAAAGTTTCCGTGAGATTGCCAAAAAAAAAAATAAAGTCTTGAAATCCAGCTGTAATAATTCTCAAGGTCCCATTATTTTCTCTTGCAATTTTTAATAGTTTTCAAACTCCATAATTGCCCCCACTTTTAACATAATCATAGCATAATCCACAAAAAATTCTAAATTAAAAAGGAAAGCAGTCCAGAATAGCCCCTTTAATAACACAGTGTTTACACATACTTTGCTCAGGGTCAAAAGCTTGTTCTTTTTCCGTTGGGCTCTGTTCCTGGCAGAATGTTGAAGATGGTGATCATTTTGACTGGACTCGTCACGATGGGTGTACACCAAGCGCAGATACAGGACCTTGTAAGGACCACACGTCCAAGGATGGGATGGGTGAGTTAATACCGGAAAAGTCGTGGCTGTAAAGATCAACAGAAATAATGACGAGTTCGGACGAAAATTGCCTCAAGTATTGTGAAGCCCCCCCAGATGAGTGGAAAGCCACCTCCAAATTAGACACTACATATTGCAATATTGATAAATGAAGCAATCCAAATGAAGAGGCAAGGGCCTGCTTCAATCAAACATGACTCAGCATTCTGTTTACTACTCTTCAATGCGTGAAGAAAAAGTAAATTCATAGGAAACAGAAAAACGACTTTTATAAAAATATATTACGGCACAAAAACTTACCAAATGCTGAGGGAATAGACGACCCACTAAAAACACACGACGGCTGAAAGGTTTACATGACGCAAATAAAAAACAAGATACACTGCAAAAAGGGGCGTGAAACCCGATATATAAGAGATGATGCAATTTGAATAAAGTACGAAAATAACGGTGCTGAAACAATACGTGTAAATTTTTTGTGAGCGAAGTATTCTTTTCATTTAAATACAAACAACACCCAAGCTTAGCCATTTTGATGTTTCAATTACTTGTAAAGCACCACGCGGAATGCATGTTCTCTAAAATGGTTGTTGTTTTTAATATCAAACAATTGCTGCTATGCAATCAGGATTCCCAAGGGGAACGTACAGATTCTGATGGCCCGAGCACGAAATACCGAACAATCGAATATGTTGGCAATCAGAAAGTTCAAAATTCAAAATGACTGATAACTTGCTTCGCTTCTTTCGGATTGGTAGTGCTCACTTCATCAGGTTTTCTTTTTCACCACATTAATATTTTCAGTTACGAAAGCTGCATAAACAAATGCTGTTACTACTAACAGTATTCTTCCCAAGCTTTAGAGGTATCCTCTGAAGAGTATTTTGTTTTTGACCCAGGAAAGTACCTTTACATCGAGTCATCATATCCAAGGTTGCCAGGACATATAGCTCGTATCACACGGCAGCCAGCCAATCAATACAACTGTTTCAAACTGTGGTATCACATGTCTGGAGCTGACATTGGCTGGTTGAGTGTTTATCGACGTTCAGGTACAGACCAAGAGACCTTGCTATGGAGTATGAACAAAGACCAAGGGGAGGAATGGAAACAAGTGCACATAAACTTAAGGGACAGCGGTAATAACAACTTAAGACAGGTGGTGAGTGTAATCATTCATGAGTTATCCTTCATATTTAGGTTCTGAGAGAGCACGATCTTTGATAGCGAAAATCAATGCAATGGTTATATCAGTAAATCCTTGCCAGACCCGGACGGCAGAAGGCTATGAAAAGAGGAATCGATTTATCCAATCCTTTAAGAACAATGAAGAGAAGATTTGGAAGGTCAACTTCAATGACATAAACCTGAATTTCTGTCAAAGGCAGTTAATTACCTACAACTTCCTAACTGTTTATTGACGAATATTTTTATTCTTCACCTCATTTTTTCTCTATAGATAACTATCGAGGGAGGAATTGGAAATGGTTACCATGGTGATATTGCAATCGATGACCTAACCCTTGAAAGAGAATCCTGCAGCAATGTCGGACTTGGTAGTTACAATTAGAAACAAAATAATTATTTCCTTCTACAACAAATACAGCAAACGTTTAACAATGAAGGCTTCATTTTTTTTCGTTATTGGTTTGTTTCCAGGTTTCCCTTTGAAACAAGTTGCCCACTACAGATTGGACGGCAGAGAAAATGACATAATGTGAGTCCATTTGCGTAACACAAAATCTTACCTAGATGTCCAATTCGCTTTCTGATTCAGGGGGATTTAAAAGTTAAAAGCCTTTAGTCGATGCGCAAAAGGCCAAGATCGCCGATTTTGCCTTACAAAAACAAAAATGAGTGGGGGACCTAAATACAACTCTTTGCCCCCGGGGGCCGGGAATTTGAACAAACCAATCTTCAAAAGTTTAAATGCCCGGGGGGGGGGGTGGGGGTGTGTTGAAGCTTCGAATTGATTGACGCACCACCTCCAAGTAAGGGAAATGGCCCTGGGAACGAGGTTGACCCAAAGTAGGTATAGATAACCTGCTTCAGGTGCAGGCAGACGGAAATGGACAAATCAAGATCTGGTTTGATATTGCAACTTATTGGCTGAAAGGGTGATTCACGTCTCTGAGGTTTTTTTTTTACGACCGACCACCAGGCGAACGAAAACAAAACTAACTCAGTATCTGATCAACTTCCATAATGAACTGAGATAGATCTAGATGAAAAAACAAATTCTTGCAATATTAACATACACTTTTTTTAGGCTGGAAGGAAATACTTCATTTAAACTACAACAAGGCTGGACAGCGGTATATCTAGATGGTGTGACGTCATTGGTAAGGTTTTCCAACGAGTTTTTCATGAGTGAGATGAGTTTCACAGTGGCATTGTGGGTACTAACGCAGAAACCGGATGAGAATTCGATTTTATTTTCTTCATTTGACCTGTTTGAGATAAAGCTGAGGAATACGGCTGTTGTGACAGAGATGATGAGCAAGTTGTCTTGTTGCTTATTCCACATAACTGGCCGGTAAGTTATTAGTAATGAGTAGGCATGCAGAAGAGGTTATGTGTCGTATCGTATTGAAATTAAATTTCCAAATCCCTGTTTACTTCGACAGAAAAACTAAACCATATGCTTCTGTAGAGGGATAACAAAAAAATGCCGCCGTTTTTTCTGCGTCCTTACCATCTTCAGTTTTGAGCTTAAGGTGGTCTGTCTGAAGCATTTTTCATTTGATCGCTAAGTGATCTCATTGATCGTCGTGGGACCTGAAATTGTGGAGAACCCAGTAGGAACCCTACCGTAATCCAACAGGAACCCGATGAAAGCCCGACAGGAGCCTGACGGGAGCTCGAGGGGAACCCGAAAGGAGACGGACGGGAGCCCGACGTGAACCCGACGGGAACCTTACGGGAACCCAACGGTATCCCTCTAGTAATCCTATTTGGAATCCCGGGAAAAAAAACCACTGTACTCCCGGTCCGTAAACTAAAGAAAAATGACCACTGGCCTATATTTAAGCGATATGTTTCTGTTTGCAGCTCACTAAAAGCAAACACGTGGACCCACGTGGCAGTCACGTGGAACTTGGAGCAGCGCACCGCTTGCCTTTGGGTTGATAACGAGAGTGAAACTGTCCAAGTTGATCATGCTGTAGATCTTCCAATAAACGCTCCACAAAATTTTAGCATCGGAAGTGATAGTGAAAGCGGTAACTTGTCGCGCTACCAAGGCTATGTCAGAGATGTGAAGCTATTTGAAAAACCATTAAGTCCCGCAGAAGTTGAAGAGATAAAAGGTATATTTTGACTTTCTTGTTTTCAGCTTTGAGAAAAGTATGATCGGGTAAGCAAAGACTAAACTTGGTTTAGATCACATGAAGAGTGCCGCCCTCCTCGTAAACTCAAAACGTTTGAGGGAGTTCCAGCCACCACACCATGGTGTTGATTTGAGCGGCAACGGTCTCGCCGCCTTTCGACAGATGTTGATCAGCCTGCCTGACTATAAAAGAGAACGAAAATATTACATTTGTTCCACGATAGTCAAAGAATCGCTGCGGGAGGGGGGTAGGGAAAACATTGATACGTTCCTAAACTTGAATGGATAAACTTTAAATCCTTTACAGGTCACGCTTAGGCTGAGCTGGTAACAGATGAGCCGCTGAAAAAGTTAACAGTCCATCTTTCATATTTGTAGGTCCAGAGTGTAAACCTGCATGTCAGGCACCAGGCTTTTGTGATCGTGAAATGGGCAAATGTTTTTGTGGAGACTTGGACTTCATAATAGAATCGTGCGAAAATGGTGAGATGGCTTTAGTTGGCTGCCATCAAGCCTTGATGTGATGTCTTCTGCTCAGTATTTTTTGGCCCACATCCATATCGAACTTGTGCCATTGGATAGGGAAACCAAATCGTGCTCATCGAAAGGGGGTAACTCCTCTTTAGCCTTAAGGATGGGGCTACCAAATCCTGCAAATTCTTGCCTTTGCTCTTAATTTCCTCGTGTTGTTCTTTTTCTCGTACTCGGGGGGGTTTGGCACCGTCCGCACTATTGAAGTCTACTTGGACTATTGATGAGGAAAGAGGTTCGTTGATATGGTGCGACGACGAGAATCGTGAATTAAATATATTAAACATCTGTCTTTACTCTAATGCTTCGTGCAGAATTATTATTATTTTTTTAATAATCAACCCACCCTCTACCTTCAGTAATCGGCTAGTTTGTTACTTGAAGTAAACCATTTCCTTCTCGACTTTGCAGAACATTTTCTTTTTCTTTTTAGCTCTTGTGGCCACCATCTACAACGAAAGCATAAGTTATGTTCCTTTCGACGAATCGAACTTTTTAGATTTGAAAACTGGGAATCGACTTTCTTTGGTTCATCCACCTGATAGATATAATGCCACAACAGATCACGTATATAATGTATCACTGATCGTTGGTCCGGTGAATAGAGCCATTCAACTTTCGAGAGAAGCTCATCTTAAACTCCTTGAGACTAGTTGCTTCGATCGACCATCTTTGTGTCAAAGTGGAATGTCTGTGGTCTTTTGGATAAAACTGTTTGGGCCAAAGTTCAGCCCTTCGTTTTTCCTGACGCCACTGCCAACTACAGAGAGTGTAACAGTTGAGTACTTTAGGCACCACGAGGGCGTGGCTTTTCGTGCTCATGTAGACGATGAGTTACTGGCTGGGATCGAGGTCCTCATCTCATGGCAAACTCACTTTTGTAGCTATGGGTTCTCCGTACCCAAAAATGCCTGGAGTCATGTGACCATGGTGTGGATGCACAAGGAAACCATCAGGATTTTGCTCAATGGCCGTAGGTTACCGGCCAATACTAACTGCTCTGAAACATCGACTCCTTTAGAGTTTGAGATAGCTAATAAAATAAGAATTGGAAGCCATAAGTTCTCACTTTCAATCGATGAGTTTGCAGTATGGAACAAAGCTTTATCTCTTGTGGAAGCAAAGAGCATCTTTTCTTACATACACACAGGTAATTTCTCCGTATGATACTGGGTTGCATAAATGTTAAAGTTTTGCGGTTTTGATTTCCACGAGTTTTTCAAATTAACCTCGATCCACCAAGCACGAGAAAAATTTGAGTTACGATTCAAAGATTGCTCTTATTCGGACCCGACCCGAAATATCATTTACTGAATTTTTCATTGTCTAGATTTCCACTGAATAACTCGGCAGGTAACAAAATCTTAAAGCATTTCAATTTACCATCCTTCTTAATATTCTGCTAACTCATCACGTTGAGTATTTGGCTACGATTTGATGCGAAACCAGGAACTAATTACGACAATGTTTCTCCTTTATTTAGTTAAACCAAAAGAAGTATTTTTAGAATTGAAGTTCCTAAATGAAGTTTGGCAGGAAAGACTTAAAGATCCTGAGAGCGTTACATACAACCTTTTCATCACAAAACTGACCGGGGAGGTAAAAATTTGCTTTAATCTCGTTCTACACTAATCATAACAGTCATACAAATATGTGTTCCTTTTGTCTCTTTTTCAAGTACAATTATCTCACGAATTTGTCACCAATATTGGGGAGAAGTTAACTCTTGTATTATATATCTATTCTTTCAGTTTTTATCTCTCTTCAGTGAGATCTCTAACCTCACTGCACTAAAAGTTCACAATTTCAGGTTGGTAACTTGCACTTATGATTTTAAAAGCCTGACAAAATTTTTCAAGAAGCCCATAATGATACAAAAATATCTGACGTAATCGTTTTTGTGTTTGCCTTGTTTAGTGCCGGAAGTGTGATCGCAGAACTGACGCTGTCATTCTATAGGCTTTCGTATGACGTCATACTCCTGCTAGAAGAAGCTTTATTCACCAACAAGTCTCTAGGAAACATGGCGATCAAGTGTGAATCAATTCGCTTTTTAAGTGGTATAAAACTATTGCGTTTTGTTATCTTTATTTGATACATGTCCGTTTTCTGTCAGTCTCACAGCTCTTAAAAAGTGTGTCAAAATATAAGACTGGTCGATTTATTGATTGATTAATGCTCTACGTATCACTATTGGTCAGTTTTATTGAAAGGTCATACTCTGTGATGGCGGTTGATTTCCACACGCGTACGCTCGACTTCAAATGGTTTCCTTACCTAAAACGGTTTATATCAAGAGTACCGGAAACAAATGGAAAAAAACTGTCCCTAGAGCAATTTTTCTTAAACAGCTGTGTAAAACAATTGCGTCTATTTTTTGTCCTCCCTTTTTTGTTCTGTGATTAGGCCAACGCATTCTGTATGCCACTGAGTTCATCAAATCACGTGTTAGCGGAGCACACTTGCGAACGCGTGAGTGGAGCCCCATGTCTAAGGAGATAAGGATCCATTTCTGCAAGAAAATATTTTACTTTTGATATGTCCCTCAATATTTTCCATACGCGATAAGTTATACCACAAGAGCAACCCCGTGAAAGAGTAAAACAGTGAAAAAACAAAGCAAACGTTTGTTATATTCAATGTAGTCGAACGCATGTTTAAGGAAAATTGACTTTCTGGATGGCAAACAACCTAGATTTACAAAATCTAACCTACTCGATATTCTTAGAAAATGAATATTTTTTAAAAAAAATCATTTGCTGTTAGTTCCAGACGTGAACGTCAGAATCATCAATGCACATGCCCCAAATAGCACTTCCGTAAGTGTGACCTGGAGCAGATTGCCTGAGGAAGACTTTCAAGGAGCATTTCAAGGCTATAAGACTCTCTACAAAACGACCAATGATGGGTCAGCCTACAAGGCATTCACCACGTATGGTGCTCTTACGAGTGCTTTGATTAAGGACCTGAGGCCAGGCACTCAATACACCCTTATAGTCTTTCCATTCAATGTGTATGGCGATGGGCGCCATAGTCAACCAGTCAACGTCACAACACAAGGTAACAATGCCTTGATACTTTCGGGAAGAGGACACCTCGATAATTGAGCTGGCCCGTATGAGCCGTTGCACCTTTGGGGATGGGGGAGGGGAGCCTTCTTTACTTTCTTAATGCCTCCCTTCTTTTTTTTATCTCTCTAACTTTAGCTTGGTATCAATAAATAAATAAAAAACAATAACAGAGATTTCCTAACAGCAATGGCTACCAATTGAGAAATTGATCTTTAGAAAAAAATGAGATAAAATGTAATTCTAACTTACATCTATACTGGAAATAGATCAAAATCGTCTCCCTGATTCGAAGAATAAATACGTTTCCTGTTCAAATTATGATTCTCAAGAGGTTAAAATTATAGGCGGCGTGGACTTATTTTTGTGTGGGGGAAAACCTTATTCGCACACTCCAAGTCATTTCTTGTGCTAACATTTATAAATTGAATTTTCCTTTTCTTTTAAACTCCTTGAAACTTTTGTCCTTTCTACTTTTTCTACGAAGAGCAACACCTTAAAGTCACTGGCCACAACATTAGCAGCAATGAAATAGAAGTCTTTTGGAACTCAGTATCCCTAGACTTTCTGGGCTTTGTCGTGAAGTATTGGCCGAGGACTGATGGCGAAGTCACCGCTATTGTAAAGCACGTCCTTAGAACAGAAAACAGTATTCAGCTTGGAGACCTGAAGACATTTACAGTCTATGTGATACAAGTAGAAGTTGTCCGCGTGAGTAACAATACAGGGCGCATCCGGGGACAGGCAAATATTTCAACGGATGAAGGAGGTATGTCTTGATTTGTTGGCCGTATCTGGAGCTTGCCCCATTGCAAGTACGCCCCCACCTTGACAATTTCGCCCCATAAAATACAAAAAGGTCGCCGCTACCTTCACCAAAACGAACATATGCTTTCGTAAGGATGTAGGGTTAAAAATTTTTGGAGTGAATTGATGAGGGTGGAACAAACCTGTAATAAATTGTTGAACTCATCGAAAAGAGGGAGAACTGCAAGGGGGAAAACTATCACTGGGGCGAAACCTCCATAAACTGTATAAGCAGTATACCTTTTTTCTTCGCTTGAACACACTTAAGATCAATTAAGACTGTTACCATAGTTTGAGGCAAGAACGACACTAAAGATAGAGGAAATTGATTTTCAAGATTAACTGTTCCTCTTACATCGAAGAAGAAGCCGGTGGGAGTCGACACATGCCAGTAAGTCACGATGATTTAAAAAAAAAAATTGTAAATGAACAGAATCTCACTTGGGTAATTACAGATAAAAAGCGTTGGAACACTCTCAAATTTTCCATAATAAGCTATTTGGGTTTTTTCTTTTCAGTTCCTTCTGCGGGTCCAGTAGTAATTGCAGTGCATAAAACAAGTTCTACGTCAGTATTCATACAATTGGAACCGATACCGAAAAACGAAATTCATGGAATTCTTTTAGAATACGAGGTTAATTTTGCTGCTCGGTTGGAATTACAACAGCGAACATCTCTAACGGCATGCTCCAACGCCACTTCCGCCGTTAAGCAATTAAGCCACTTCAGCAATTGAGCTAAAAAAATTTCGCTGTATGTGATTGGTGAGCGGGGATGCAAGAGGAAGGGGAATGGACTTGTCACTTTACTTTTGCGTGGAGTAGCACAGGCGAAGACGGTCTAGGCAAACAATTTATATATATATATATATATATATATATATATTACGATATTACAAAAATGCTAGTATTTCTCCTATCTCTAAAACTTAACTCAACTTGAATCTTCACCACAACTATGGAGGTTACTTTATTTATCATTGTCTATGGTTTACTTTTTCGTTTCCCAGCTCCGAGCCGCCCTCCAGGAAATGTAACCGCCTTTGCAAATGGAACGGGAGTAATACGAGTGACCTGGATACCAGTGGAGCCAGAGTTTGTTCACGGTGTTCTGCGAGGTTACAAAGTTCGCTTCAAAGGGTATGCGCGAATCAGTGCTCTTGATTGGATTACGGAATCTGTTGGCAGTGGCACAAACTACATCGAGCTGAGTGGGTTAAAGCCTCAAACGACATATGAAGTGCAAGTGTCTGCGTTTACTATTGGAGATGGAAATTACAGCGAGAGTGTAATTGTCATAACACAAAAAGGGCGTAAGTAAACTTCTCTGACCATTACAAACCTCTTGCGCAAAGATTTCGATGTGGCC